AGTGATTAGGGAAAATATATTCAATTAATTGAGTACATTCTTTATGATATCCCAGTGTATAAAAGATATAGAATCTGTTCTACCTTGCAATCTTCAGAGATACAAGTGTCACATGCGTCTACTTTTCTGCATATGTTGCTCTCACTTTTATTTTAGGAACTGTCAGAGGCGAGGGTTGCCCTTTCACTGATTTTACATATTTAAGCAGCATCTGTGATATGACATGTTAAAAGGGAAAGGGATTTTACACGTCTATATTGATTAGTGGGAAAATATATTAAATGAATTGAATATATTACTTTTGATAAATCCCAATGTATAAAAGATATAGAATCTGCTGTAAATTGCAATGTTCAGAGATACAAGTGTCAGAGCCGTCTACTTCTCTGTGTCTGTTGCTCTCGCTGGTTATTTAGGAACTGTCAGGGCCAAGGAGGCCCTTTGAGTGATTTTTCCAACCAAAGGATAGTTGTGATAGTAGTAGGAAGGTAAAGGCATACCATGTTTTTAATATGTTTTTGAGTTACGAATTCTCCTTGGCGTATTTTTTGTTTTATTTCAGTGCCGGGCTTGGCGTTCTTAACTTGGCGATGCATGGTGTTTCAGGAATGTCTATAGCAATGGGAAATCCTCATATTTTTATATTGGATAAAAATGAAAGAATAAGTTTTACGTAGAAATATATCACCAGCCTTGCCTTTTGCTAAAGATCAACAAGAGATCGAGGGACTAGGACTTGACGAGGGTGCAAGTCTTATCAAAGTGGTAATTTAGTGGTATATGTTCGGCCTATTTTGAAATTACAATTTTGTTTTTATTGGGTTTCCTCTTTTTGTTGGAAAAAAGTTGGGTTGGTATTAGCTGCACTCAAAACATATCGTTACTACTTGTTACATATACAAATAGGTTGTTGGCGAGGCAGTGGAAAAACAGCTTATGTAAATGAATTAGAGCACTTATAGCTATCTCATCTCTTTATTCATTCTTCCTGTCGCGATATGATCTGTTTATTGATTGTTCCTGTGCTGATCTGATCTCTTGATTGATTGTTCCTGTGCTGATCTGATCTCTTGATTGATTGTTCCTGTCCTGCCTAACCCTCCTCCCATAAATCCTTCGTGGCCGGACCAGGCGCGAGGCATCCTGTAAACCCTCCAATTTCATTACACCATTTGCATTGGACCAATTTTTAGTACCAATTTTTGGTAAAGTCTTCTATTGTTTATTTTTTCACAGTATTGATTGTTCCCTAAATTTTACGTCCTTCTTTTCATTGTTCTCAGTAGTTATTCAAAAAAGATTTATACATTTCAGAATGTCTTTTTAAAGTAAATTTAGTATTGATTTCATTCCCAATATAAACTTATTCAATCACTACTTTTTAATAAAAGTACACCAAATTCTTAACACAATCTATTTCCAATATTGTTACTCAGTAAAATCATTTAAACTCCTACATTCTAAGACCATATTTCTCAAACAATTTCTCACATTTTTTTAATGAAAGTGTCTGTAATTGGCCATCGGAGATAGTGAAAAAACAAGCCCCTTTTCACCATTTTACCGATGCCCATGATCATGTATTCAACATCTTATTTCAGTCATACAATGACCACTGTGAAATTAACTTTGCTACTCATTAGGTGTTGATTTTTGATGCAGTTATAGAGTTTCATTAATAGAGAACAACCCTGACCTTCCAACATATGTGGAAATCTATTTCCTAAACATGTTTTTGTTATTACTGTTAGGTACAAACTAGTACATTACCCGTGCGATGCACGGACAGATAAACGATGCTTCAGAAATCATAAGATTTATTAAATTTTAAACAGAATTACTAACATAAAAATGTGTATTAAAAATAGACTACATGCAATACCTACTATTATAATGAGGTAAACTGGGTGCTGGGATGAACATTGCTTCCTGCTTGAATAATGTTATTTAGTTAATAAGACAATTATTTAAAAAAAAACTACAAAAGATTTGTGATAAAAAAAATTGAAAATTATTTTAACAGTAACAAATACTCCGTAGTTAACATATACTCCGTAAATAGCATTATACTCTTCCACTCTCAGCCCGCCCAAATGAGTGTGATGCATCGGCCCAGTCCAACATTCAGTCAAGTCCAGTACAACTTAAAATTCTTTCTCCTTCCGCCGCAGCTATCCTAACCATATCTTCCGCCTTCTCCTATCTCCTACTTTTTTCTCAACCCTCCAAATTTCTATAGTAATACCGGTTTGTGCTACGATGGAGTTCACCTCCTACGTTGCTTATGTGTACGTTTTGGTTCTTTCTCTTGTATCCATCTGTTTCTGTTTCATTTCTTTTACTTTTTTTATTTTTTTCGTAATTCTATTGGCTTCTTATCACACACTGAAGAAATCGAATGTCACCCACTTATTCAAAACAAAAGGATGTTGTATTCTCATTTTTAAGATGAGACGGTCTCCGATGATAGACCAATTTTTTACATATTATGATTTTTATTTCAGATCTCATTAAATCTCAGAAATAGGATTATTTATATGTTTTGTTTTTTAGGACAATCTTTTCTCCATGATTTTTGATAATTTTTGGGGTTCATATAAGATTTAGATGTTTTTATTAGATTTCTTTAAAAGGAGCTTATCTGCTTCGATTCGAATCACGAAGAATTTGTTCACAGATCCATGCTTGTTCAGATTTGTAATTTGACAACGAATGCATGATGTTAAAAATCATGTGTAATAGAGGAGGTCTCCGATGATAGACCTGATATACTGATGGTATTTTATGTTAAGTGTTTAAACTTGTTTTACAATATTGAAGGATTTTCTAAATTCTTTTAGGATTTAGATGAAAATCTGAATTTACTTCATAAATATTGTGGTTGGTAGTAATATTAATGAATATTTAAAACAACAATGTCTCAGTGAAATTGTTTTCCTGTTAATTTTTAGTTATATATATTCTACAGCTTTTAATTTAAATATTCTACTCCATTTATTTTATAAACAAAGAAAGCAATAACCTTAAGCTTAAAACTGCAATTATATATATAATATTTTCAAAACCTGGTATCTAATCTGGTTATGTGTGGCATTTTATCTATATTCTGATCACAATGGATCAAAGTTAGACAAATGTACCATGACCATAAGGCTTTTATTTCTTATAAGAGGATTTTATTTAAAATGAAGTGAAGTAAATTATGTAAGTCATTTCATATATAGTTCATTCAATTTTTTTTAAGTATAATGTGTACAAAAGTACAAAACAAAGTCATAGAATAATTAAACAACTGAATTCTTTTACTTGTTATTTCAGGTTTGATATTTTGTAAAGAAGCTGCTTGTGATGCAAGTAAGTATAATTAAAAATTACTATGTTTCATTAATTAGAATATAATATCTAAACTAAGTATATTAACTAACAGTAAGTCTTTCATCTTTCCCAGAAATATCTCATGCAATGAAGTTAGGACAGGTAAGTAAATTAGTTAAATTACTTAAATTACTATCTCATGCAAGTCTTTCAATGAAGTACTTAAATTACTTAATATACATGTATTGAATGAAATCTTCATTAAGGTTGGCATGGTTTTCTGTAATATGATGCCTATATTTTTCATCAGTTCAAGACACACTAAATGCATAAAACCATCTAAATTTATATCTGTTAAATATATATACACTAACTGAACTGTGTTTACTAAATAAAAGTCATAAAAATAATAGAGTATGTGAAGTGGAGTGTGTTCACCTCTGTTTGTATGGAGCCTCTTTCTTTTTCCTCTGTCTTTACCACTTGTCTTTACCACTGGGCAGTGAGCTCTTCATTTCAGTTTCCAAATATAAATAAATTTATCACTATGGGATATGAGGAAGAAAGATATCTACTTTATATATGGAACACCACTCATAGGTTATATATATGTATTGAAATAAACATACAGAAAGGCCTGTCCACCACTGGTAATTATTTAAATATACTTAGAAGTTTATGTCAAGAAGTTATTCATGTTTAAGCCATACAAATCAATAAGTCCAAAACATTTTCTGTCATGTGACCCTAGGAAGTTGATACATTAAAGGACTTCATTTTTTGATGGTTTTATTGTGGATATTTAAAATGAGGCATTTACTTTAAAACATTTAAACCTTAAATGACTGCAGTTCTAATATGCTTTTAAAGTACTTTAAAATTTTTTAAACTCAGTGATTTGGTCAGGACTTTGAGTGTGAACTACCTTTTTTAACTTTGCACATTTGAATGATTTCAGATTTTGATGGTTTATTGTGGAGTTGTTAAATGATGAGGTTTTTAAAAACTCTTTAAAATTGCAGATTCATTTCCCCTGAGCATTTGATATTAGGTCAGAATGGGGTCAGTTCCTTGCCATTTTTTCTACCCCATTACCTATTTCCAAAATAATCCACTTTAATTATGAAGTGCCATTTTATTTTTCTGTCAGGACTTTAATTATGAAGTTCCACATTATGTTTGCAAATTTGATTATGAACTTTTAAAA